ATAGTAGTAGTAGTAGCAGCAATAAGAGTAGAATTAGTAGTGGTAGTAGAAGTAATAGTAGTAGTAGCAATAATAGTAGTAGTAGTAGTAGTAATAGTATTAGTAGTCCGCCCGAAACGACGAATCGTGTCTTTTTGACGTGAAAGAAGGAAAATAATAAATATGGAGAAGAGAAAGAGGAAGAGGAGTTACAAGAAGGAGAGGAAGAAGAAAGAAAGAATAATAAAGGCACACGAGGTCAGAGTGAAGAAAAGGGAAAAGAAAAAAGGGAAAGGATGATGAAAAAGAATAAAAAAGAAATAAGAGAAAATATAAGGAAGAAAAATGAAGAAAGAACGAATAAAAGAAAATAAAAAAGGAAAAAAGAGAAAGTAGATAAAATAATAATTACAGAAAAGAAAGAAAGCCGTGAAAAGGAAAGAAAAGATTTAAAAAAATACGAAGAAGAAAAGAAAAATAATGAGAAAAGAAAAGAAGGAAAGAAAAAATGCAACAACTATGAACACAATCTCTTCCTTTCCCTTTCATTTTTTCTCCGATCAACCCCTCCTACGTCAATCCCACCTCCCCTTCCCCTCCTCTCCCCTCCCCCTTACCCCTCCCACTCCCTCGTCTCCTCCCTATCCCTCCCACTCCCTCCCTCTCCCTCTCCCCCTTCCACCCCCCCCTTCCTTTCCCCTCCCTCTCCCTCTCCCTCCTTCCCCCTTCCCCCTCACCACCCCCCCCCGTCTTCCTTCCTTTTCCCTCCTTTCTTCCTTTCCCTTCCCTTCCTCCTCCCTCCCCTTTTCCCCTTTCCTTTCCCCATCCCTCCTCCCCTTCCACCCTCACCCCTCCCCTCCCTCCTCTCCTTCCACCCTCACCCCCTTCCTTCCTATTCCCCTCCCTCCTCCATTCCACCCTCACCCTCACCCCCCCCCCCATCTTTCTTCCTTTTCCCCCCTCCTCCTCTCCCTTCCTACCCTTCCCCCTCACCCCCCCACCTTCCATCCTTTTTCCCCTCCATCCTCCCCCCCCCCTCCCCCATCATTCCCCCCATTTTCTTCCTTTTCCCTCCCTCTCACCCTCCCTCCTCCCCCCTCAACCCACCTTCCCTTTCCCTTCCCCCCTCCTCCCCCCCCCCCCTCCCCCCTCATTCCCCTAGGCTATTCGTCACGCTTCACAGGTGAGTCGGTCGCTCGTAATACCTACAGGATATTATTGTAACTTTTATGTGGTATTTGCTTGCTCATTAGCATAGAAAGGGTTGGGTGATTGGGAGGTGTTGAGAAACTGACATTCTCTTTTTCTCTCCCTCTCTCTCTTTTTTCTCTCTATTTCTTGTCTGGTTGTCTGTTTTTTCTGTCTGTCTATCTTTCTCTTTCTCTCTCTCTCTTGTTTGTCTGTCTCCCTCTGTCTCTCTCTGTCTCTGTCTGTCTGTTTTTCTCTCTCTTTCTCTCTTGTCTATCTGTCTCTTTGTCAGTCTGTCTCGATATCTGTATTCATATCTGTTTTTGTTTGTTTCTGTTTCTCTCACTCACTCTCTTTTCCTCTACCTCTCCTTTTCCCTCCCTCTCACTCAATCTCTCTCTTCCTCTAACTCCCCCCCCCCTTTCTCTCCTTCCCTCTCACCCTCTCCATCTCCACCACCCTTTCTCTTTCTCTCCCTTTCCTTCTCTCTCTTCATCCTGTTCGGTTTTCCCCTTCACTTTTCTCGCCTCGAATAAGTATTGACACTACACATACCGCTATTATTGATGACAAGTTATGCATGTCATGTTGACAGTGATGATAATGACTTTGATATGATGACGGTAATGACAGAGATGATTATTTCTTCTTGATAATATCATCAGAGACATAATCATCTTGATGTGACTATATTGATGATCATAGTAGTATTTGCAGTTACAATAGCAGTAAGTAATAGTAGCAATTGAAGTAGTAGTAGTAGTAGGAGGAGGAGGAGGAGGAGGCGCAGCAGCAGTAGTCGTAAAAGTAACAATAGTAGCAGTTGTAGTAGTAGCAATAGTAATAGTAATAGTAGCAATAGAAGTAATAGTAGTAATAGTAGTAGAAGTAGTGGTAGTAGTAACAGCAGTAGTAGTAAAAGTAGCAATAGTAGTAGGGGTAGTAGCAGTAGTAGTAATAGTAGTAGCAGGGATAGTAGTGGTGGTAGCAGTAATAGTAGCAATAGTAGCAGTAGTAGTAGTAATAGCCGCAGAAGTAGAAGTAATAGTAACAATAGTAGTAATAACATTACTGATACAACAAAAACAATAACAACTATTGCTGTTTCTGCTGCTGCTATTGCTAACAATAGTATTGATAGTAATGAAAATAGTAATGATTATAATAGTAATGATAATAATGATAATAATTATGACAATAACATAATGGTGATATTGGTGAAAATGATGCTAATAATGATGCTACTAAAGCTAATGATGCTGATAATGATAATGATAATAATTATGATAATGATAAAGATAATAATGATAATGATAACAATAAGCATAATACGAATGATAATAATGGAATGATAATGATAATGATGATAATGATAATCCTGATAGTAATAATGTTAATCATGACGACAATTGTAATGATAATATGATAGTAATGAAATTGATAATAGAAAAAATAGTAATAATGATAATGATGGTAATAATGAAAATAATACTAATACTGATAATGATATTACTACTACTACTAATGATAATGACAGTACTAATGAAAATCATGACGATAATAATTATAGTAATAATGTTAATAACAGTAATATTGAGAATAATAATGAAAACAATAATACTGATAATAACATGAAGAATACCAGTAACAATAGCAATAATTATAATAATAATGATAAAAATGATGATGATAATAGTAATAATGATAAAGACGATGCTAATAATAATAACAATCATGATAATGATGATAATAGTAAAATCAAATATACTACTACTACTAATAATAATAATAATGATAATAGTAATAATGATAATATCAGTAATATCATTGATAATAATGATGATAATCATGATGATGATAATTGGAATAGTAATGATAATGATAATAAGGATAATAACAATAATAATGATGATAATACTGATAGTAATGATAATGATGGCGAATGTAATGATAGAATAATGATAATGAAGATGATATTAATAATAGTTAACAATAACAATAATGATAATGATAATAATGATAATAGTAATGATAATGATGATGATATTAATAATAGTTAACAATAACAATAATGATAATAATAATAATGATAGTAATGATAATGATGATAGATGTAATAATAGTAATGATAATAATTTTAATACTGCTAATAATAATATTAATACTACTACTAATAATATTAATACTACTAATAATAATAGTAATACTAATACTACTACTAACAATAATGATGATAATACTACTGCCAGTACTGCTGATAATAATAATGATAAGGATAATGAAATAGTAGTAATGATGATAATAACAATAATGACAGTATCAATGATGATAATGATAACAATGTTAGTAATAGTGATAATAGTGATAATAACAGTAATGATAATATCAACAATGATAACAATAATAATATTAATAACAATAATAATCGTAGTGATATAATGATAGTAGCAATGAATTTAATGATAATAATAGCAATGATAATAAGAACAAAATTAAGGAACACAGTCGACGTTCTTGCTACTGATGGTCATCTAATTCATAATTCTTTTTTAGTTTTTGTTTCGTACAATGTGAGATGTGAATGACCAAGTGTTTATTTGTCTTCGCGACTTCATTCTGAGTATTCTTTACATTTTCTAAATCGAACTTCAATAAAACGAAAGAAAGTGCATATACCTCTCTCTTTAAATAACAAGGCGAACTGTTAAGTAGAATTTCGTGAGATTATTGTCATGGACAAGACAAATTTGCATATAAAAAAAAAACGAAGAGCTTTTGCAAATTCTACGTCAATGGGGATTTGCGAGTTTAATTCCCGTTTGATTCGCTCTTGCATCTCGGGAGTTCTATGCGGCTAATCAGTTGCCAAAGCGCTATGACGCTGGACGAATCTTCCGTAAGCAGAGAGCGAGTTCCCGCCCGCGCACCTTTCGGGCCCGAGGTCACGCCGGGTTATCAGCGGCCTTGATGAAGCTAAACGAAAATGAAAGCAGCTGCCCGGGCGAAGGATATTCCTCGTTAGAACAATTGAAGGACTGGTTCCCCGGCCTGCCTGACCAAGCGCCCACTCGCCCTCGCCCGCCCGCCGCCGCCCACGCCTCATTCTGGTGCCGCCTAACCACCATGACGCTGCTCTGGCTCCAAGGGACGCTCCTCCTGCTGGGGATCTGCTCGGCCTCCGTGCTGGGCCCGCTCGAGACGCTGTGGGACGAGCAAGAGAAGAGCGCGGGTCAGGAGGCGCCGTACCCGCCGTACCTGCTGCAGTTCGGGCGCACGCTGACGAGCGTGACGCACGCCCTGCTCGAGAAGCACGAGAACGCGGTGAACGAGCGGCTCAAGCGACTCGAGATGCTGGTGGACGGCGCCTGCAGGCCCCCGGCCGCGCTCGCCCAGCCCGCGGGAGCCGACCTCGAGGCCAGGCTGACGAAGCGGCTGGACGGCTTCTCCGACCAGATCTCCGCCCTCCTGCAGTCCCTCGGCGACTTCGGCGCCAACGTCCACTTCTTCATGAAAAAGACGGAGGACAACATCTTGGCCTTGCCCACGAAGACGGACATGGACCACGTGCAGGCGCGGCTCATGGCGGCGGTGCGAGAGGTGACCTCGTCGGCGCGGGCGGGAGCCAAGGCGCCCGCGCCCCCCGCCAAGACCCTTGAGAAGAGGCTGTCGTCCTTCGTGACCCGCGACGACCTGGCCAAGCACACGCGCCGCCTCGACTACCAGCTGCAGAGCCTCAGGGACCAGATGGGCAACGCGTCCCTGAAGGAAGTCCTGAACCTTACGCGCAGGACCTTCCGATCTGTGTCGTCCCTCCGACCCCTGTACGAATCCCTGGCCAAGGTCGCCAGCAACTGCGACCTGGAGGAGGGGCAGTTCGACCGCCTGGAGGAGATGATGCAGGAACTCTCCGAGGACGTCGACGAGAACAGCAGCGTCCTCTCGGGAATGAGCCTCGCCCTCGAGGACGCCGAGGACATGCTGGCCGACAGACTCACGGCGCTCGAGAGACTCACGGAGCGGCTGAACGGCGACAGAGCCGACAGCGAACCGCGGGAAGTCACCTCGAGGGCGTCCACGACGTCCGCCCCGACGACACAAGGTGCGTTGGTTGTGACAAATACACCCTATCTCTCTTTCTCTGTTTGTGGTCCCTCTCTCTCTCTCTCTCTCTCTCTGCTTGTCTCTGTCTCTCACCCCCAGCTCTCTCCGCCATTCTCTAAATTATGTATTTTAAAGAATTTATTCATTTATTATGTCTTTTATTTCATCATCACCATTATCATCATCATAACCATCACTAATAATATTATTATTACAAATAGTAACATTACTCATGAAAGTAGTTTTACTTACACTGAATAGTCTTGGATTGCCAACATAGTCACATTATCTAAACTAATCCTTTTCTAGGCAAGTAACTATTCTGCAGCCATATGTATTTCACAAATCCTACAAAACCGGTTCGTTGAGAGAGTCAAGATTAAAGAATGTACATCAGACATTAAAACAAATATAAACACATAATGATAATGATAACGATAGCAAAGATATCAGAATAACACTGAAACCATATGTTGAAGAGACCACAGCAGTATCAGTATAAAAATGGCTATCACAGGCTTATAATTGCCAAGATATGTCGTTAGGTGGTATCAGCAAATTGCTCTTTCGGAAATACAACAGGCGAGCTAGCAATGGTACAGCTAATCAATAGTGAATAGTATAAATCTGCATGTCTCCATGTATCTAAGGTAATGGGAGGTAATTTTCTGTCTGGCTCTCTCTCTCTCTCACTCTTTCTCTTTAACTCTCCCCCCCCTCTCTCTCACGCATAAACATGCAAAATAAACTATCTCTCTTTATATAATGCATGCATACACAAATAAATGCAACCGTACGCACACACACACGCACAAACAACAAACAAACACACACACACACCACACACACACACACACACACACACACACACACACACACACACACACACACACACCACACACACACACATATATATATTATATATATATATATATATATATATATATATATATATATATATATATTCTCCTTATTACCACCATCACCCCCATTATCCTCCTCCTCCTCATAAACAAGATTCATTCATTCACTCACATAATCCTCGGCGCAGACTGATGAAACTACTTACTCAGCAACCAAGCAACAATCAAGTGGTCAGCGGGACATTGCATCATTGGTCAGCGTCACGACCGAGAGTTTAAAGGGATGAATGGTTAAAAAAACGCTGCGTGTTGTCGTTGTTATTTTTGTTGTTGTTGTCGTTATAATCATTATTGTGACTCTGTTTTTGATATTCTTATGTTTATTATTATCATTATTGTCATTATCACTGTTATTATCACTATTGTTATTGTTATTATAATTGTTATTATTATCATTATCATTATTGTTGTTGTTGTTATTCTTATTGTTATCATTGTTATTATTTACATTATTATTACTCTTATTATTACCATTGTTATCATTATTATTATCATTATTATTATTACTACCATTACTGTTATCATTATCGTCATTATTATTATTATATATCATCATTATCATAAATATTATTAATCAATTATTCATTATTATCATCATTAATTATATTATTGTTATTATAATTATCATATTTTTTCCAATTATCATCATTATCATTATAATTGTTGATTTTATTGTTTTCTATTATTTCATTAATATTGTTGCTTTTGTTATTATCATTATTGTTATTGTTGTTATTATCATTATTATCATTATTATTATTATTATTATTATTATTATTATTATTATTATTATTATTATTATCATTATCATATCATATTATCATCTTATTCATCTTCATCATCATGACATTATCATTATTATCTTATCGGATTACTATCATTTTATCAATATTACTCTTATTATTATTATTGTTATCAGTATTGTTATTATCACTATTGTTATCACTATCATTATTTTGATTCATTTCTATTACTATCATCATCATTATTTTTTTCATCATTGTTACTGTTGTTGTTATTATTATTATTTATTATTATTATTATTATTATATTATTATTATTATTATTATTATATTATTATTATTATTATTATTATTATTATTATTATTCATATTCATTATCATTATTATCATTTTCATTATCATTATCATCACCTTTATTATAATTACTGTCATTATTATTATTGCTGTTATTGTTAGCATTTTAATCATTGTTATTATATCTATTTTCATTATTACTATTATCATTGTCGACGTTATCATTATTACTATGGTAACATTGTTATCATTATCATTTTCATTATTATTAC